CCCGCCGGGAGGTCGCGGCTCGCCCGCTCCGCCCCCCGCGCTCGCCGCCGCCGCCGCCGCCGCCTCCATTTTCCTTCGGCCCCTCGGGTAAGGCCGCGCTGGGCCCGGCGAGGGCGGCGGTGGCGGGGAACGGGGGTCCCTTACTGGGGGAAGGGCGAGCCCGCGTTTGTCTCGGCCCGGGCGTCACACCCGACCCGGCGCCGCGGCGGCGGCTCCGAGCCCCGGTGAAGGCGGCGGGGACGTCCCCGAGGTTGGTGCCGGGCTGCGCCGCGGGCCCTGGTGCGGGGGTGAAGCGGCGGCGGCCGCCCCGGCGGTGGTCGTGGGTGGGGCTGGCGGCAGCAGGAGCCTCCCGGGGCGGCGGCGGGCAGGGCCCCGAGGAGGCGAGGCGGTGGCCGGGGGTGAGGGTGGCTCCCCCGGGGCCGGGAGGTGCCGCAGCCCCCGCTCCCTGCTGCAGCGGGGCCGGGGCCGCGGGGAAGCGCTGGCACTGTGGGAAGAGCTGCGGATGTGAGGCGATGGCGTGGGGAGCGCCGGGATGATTTCCTGGGAGCGGGGGAAAGGGTCTGACCTTCGTTTCTCACCACACTGGTGGGACCCTCCTGCTCTGTAGGTGTGACTCCCGGGTCTCTGCCCCGCAGGTGTGATTCCCAGAACACCGCATTAGGCTTTCCAAACTTCTGGCGAGATGCTCCCTGAAAAAACAAGGCCCTGATAAAGCCCTTTTGGTTTTAATAAATGACTGAAAGGTGGCAAGCGATTGGTGCTCATAGGGGAGTGAGGTTATTGTGCAGTTTCACAGTCATCTCCGCTGCTCTTTTTTTTTTTTTTTTCCTGAATACGATGATGTGGAGAAGAAAGGTTACTCCTGAATTATTTAGGATAACTAAACTGTGGGGAGTTGCAGAGACCAGATAACACCGCGTGGGAGTGCTAGTGTGGTAAATGAGATATGGCAGAAGGTGTAAGGAAGGTAACAACCACCACAAAATTGGCTCTACATCAGCTTTTGTTATTCATGGGAGAGCAGTAGGTCTCTCAACAATTGTTTCTTTTAAAACAACTTCGACACCCCGTTGTAGCCTAAGAGGGATATTTTGAAATTACTTTAAAGGAGGAGAGAATGAAATAGAAAACATTGTTATGCTGCTGAGTAAATCGTTGGCACTTTGTATCCTGGCAATTCTGGTTAGACCATTCCAAAAAGGGAGCGCTGGAAAAGGCAGGAGCAGAGCAGGTTTTTGGGAAAGCAAAGCCTTCGTGTCCTCACCTTAGGGGAGAAGCTTGCCGACAGGAGACACCATCCAGGTGCACGAAGTCATGGGTAGGTCAGAGAAAGCGAGGAGGGAGCATCAGTTTTCTGTTTCTGACCAGAAATTATGATGCAGCAGAGCTAAAACAAACAGGCGGAAGTGCATTTTCACACAACGTGCTATTAAATGTGTCACCCTGCCACAGGACGTGCAGGGTGCATAGCATCAAGGGCAGTGGGACCAGCAGGAGCATTAAAACCAACAAAGCAGGTATGGAAAGTTCCTGAGCTGTGGTGGCTGCCTGGACTTTCCCCATCATTGGTCCCCAGTCATCACTTCCCCCTGTGTTCCTCCCACCGAGCAGCGTGGGAGTGTCAGGTTTAGATGCAGACTTCCGAAATCTGTAAAACAGCTGTAAAAGCTAAATATAAAATGATATATTGCCGATGTCAGGGATGGCAGGCCCCAGTAGCCATCAGAACTCCATGTGGATACCAAGAAATGCCTTGGTGTTTAATCCTTGGTGAGGAAGAGCTCAGCATTGAGGTGCCCTTGAGGGTAGTTTCTCGTGGTGTGAGTGCCTTGCAGTGCTTCATAGGGATGTTTCTGTTAGGCTTATAAGCTTCAAATTAAAAGATGCCAAGATGATTTTGTGTGAGTTCTGTGGTGGGACACAGCCTGAAGATCATTGCTTAGTTATAGTGTTCAATCCACACATTTCAGTTCAACGATGGCTTGGTGGTTTTTTTGTGTGGGGTTTTTTTTTTAATTTTAAGAAAACTGCTATTGATTTCACTAAGAAATTCACTGAGAGCTTCAGGGGGTAAAAGAGTGGTGTTATCTTTGCAGTTCATTTGGGTTTTTCCTAGTCACACATTTGTTGTCAGTCTTGGACTCCTGTGGATGTACTTGGAATGTGCTAAAATTAATTTCATGAGCATTTAATTGACAAAATTAATAGATTTGGCTTCCTTAGGCTCTGCATTTTGAGTTCCCCAGCCCTCTTACTCTCACAGACCTTTCTGAATCTTCTGCAGTTTGACCCTTTGAAATGTGGCCATGAGAACTGAGCAATGTTCAGTGGTGGCTTTGGCAGTGTGGTTCCCTGGATCTGTGTGATCCTTAATGAACTGTGAGTTGAATCATGAAGTGACAGAGGTTAGAACCATCCCTGCCTAAGCCCTCTCCCCCCCAAAATAACACCCACAAAACAAGTGTTAATGTGGGATTGATGTAGTTTCTTCCACAAAGGATGGGGAGAAATCAAGGTCTGTCTTTGCTGTACCCATGCTGTCCTAAAGCCAAGATGGCTTTGTTGGTTTGCATATTCAAACTGCTATCCTTGAGGTTGATTGCTGAATAATAAATATATCTTGCTCTGCAGACACTGTTTGGTTATTCTCTGAACGCCACTGAGGTCTCCTGCCTTAGGTGGCATCCCTGTAGCTGGGAGAGTATCAGATATTTCTGCTTTTTCTCACCCCATGCCTGCTCAGGTGAAGCTCTTGTGGGACTTTTCTATTCCCAATGTCCTGAGTAACCAGCAGATATTTGGATGTGTGAACAATTTCTGAAATCCTCAGGTTCTCACAAAGCAGCACCTGTTCTAGAGGCCCTGCCTCACCTCACAGAGACTGCAGCTGATGTCCATCTTGGTCCTGACCTGATCAGAATTCAACAGTCCCAGTTAAAAGAAACTTGTGGACTCCGGAGCAGAGCTGCTATGCCCTTGATCTGAGCAACGTGCAGACACTCCTGATCAAAAAGAGCTGGGCTGGCACAACACTCCTTGGTTCAGAATCTTTTAACCCTCCTCAGGTCTCTCTCTGTGTGACCACACCAACTTCTGCCTGTGCACCTCTGCCCACTTCCCTGGCTTGTTTTGTTTTTAATTAAGGCCTCCCTGGCACAGAGGGTGGCAGAAGGATCCATAATCCATATCTGGTTTAACATCTTGCTTCTGTTTTCTGTGCTAAGTGACATCCCTGCCGTCCTGAGGTGAATTTCACTGGAGCTGAAAGCAGCCGGGTTTGTGGGTGGTTGGCTTGTGTGGAACCTGCTTGGCTGGATTATTAAATAAGATGCTTTTCTCAACTCCTATTTGTTCCCTGTGTCCAGACAAATTTAAATTAACATGGGAATAAAATTTCCAGGAAATTTTAGAGCAAGTGATGAGGAAGAAAGTTGGAATCGTGAGCTAAATACTTCACTGGCAGAGAATGGTGAAGTTGGATGTGGTGCTTCACGAGGTGGATTTGTGTATTGATCATGAGCAGGAGATAAATGAGGTTACTAGACTTGAAAAAGCCACTCAGCCTGCAGGTTTGTGTATGTTAGTACACCCTGGTGAATGCCTAGAGCAGGAGGATTGGTGAGAAAGGGTGAAGTTGACAGAATATTCACACATGGGTTGGTAAACATAATCCCTGTTTCTCTATTATGTGTAGTCACATGATTTATCAGTGGCATTTGCATCAGGAGCACACATTTAACTGGCATCAGCGCTGCCCTCTGAGGTGTTATTTCTGAGAGGGATGCTTAAATACAAGTGTTTGACTTCTAAAGTGTCCTCTTGAGGATGGGGATCCCACACCGAACCAGAGCAGCCACATTCTGTCTGGATGCAGAGCAGTAGCCTTGGCCTGCTGTGATTTCTGCTTGTCTGGAACATCCTGCATAGAAGTTGGCCACGGCTACATATTCTGCAGCCAAGGAGTATGAGCTGCTCTCTCCACTCATGTCTGAAATCTGGCAGAGGTCTTTTCCTCATCTCTGTTGTAGGTTTTCTTTAATGAGATACGGATGACGTGTTCCTTCAGAGCTGCTTGTGTTTTAAGACTTAAAAGATCATCCAAGATCAGCCTTGGATTTTTTAACTCTAACTGAGCACTAAGTCCCTGTTTTTGTCCAAGTTGTTGTGTTTGTGCAGCAGATGTGTGGATCTCAGGGCAGGGCAAGAAATCCTGCACACAGGAAGTGTCATGGCAAAGCCTTGATTATGTTGTCCAATATGGGACTGATTTCCTTCAGCAGGTTGTTTGCAGTGGGGAAATGATTATGGGACTATTTTGAAACATGTTTGTTTAGGTACCATTCCCTGCCATATGGAATTATTTTATCATCTTTTTTCTCTGTTGTTTTTCCATGTTTGTGTGTTGAATTACATCAGATATAATTTAACATGGAGGTTTTGGCTGTAGATCTGACACCTCTGAACTGCTTTTTGTACAGCTCCTTCCCAAAGGCCTGTGCTTCTTCCTGGGCTGGTGTTTTCATTCTCACAGCCATTTGAGGAGTTGATTTGGTGTTCCTCATAGCTGATTCTTGTAAGCTTCAGTTGTTCTGATGTATGTAAAAAGGAGGTAAAAAAAACTTCCTTTGAAAATTTCAAAAATATCAGTGGGTTTGTAACCACCAGAAGTGGAAGGCTCAGAGGGACAGAACTTGGCAAACATTTTCCTTTGTGCCAAGCTTGATTTATGTTGTTTTCAGAAACTCCATTTGGGAAAAGCATCAAACAAAAGGTTCTGGATATAGAAAATGCACTGTTTTTGTCGTTTTCTTGTTGCTTCCTCAACTCTGGGTGGAGGTCCCTAGCATGGAACTGCCTGCCTGTGGCTCTGGCTTGTGGGCATTCACAGACCCCCAGACCTCTCTCCAGTTTGCTCTGTGGGCTCTGCAGTGTCACAGCTGGCAATCACAGCTCAGTCAAGGCCCTTTTCAGGGTCACCCTGGCTTCATTAACTGAGTGAAGATTAATCATATTAAGATCCTAATTAGTTGGGCTGTGTGCCTGACACGGTGCAGCATCAGTGGGAGGCTGTGGATGGGATGGGGGCTCTGGCTGTGTGCACGTTCCAGCCGCAGGAGATGGGAGAGTTGCAGTGACAGCTCCTGACCTCCTCACCCAGATATGGGTTGGCAGGAGCTGGCAGCTCTTGGCTGCTGCCTTCTCCTGCCTAAGCTGTGGTGACAGGGATGTCCAGGCGAGGTGGACACTGGGCAATTCAGGGCCTCTGTAGCTAATTTGAAACCGTTCTTGCTTTAGCTGCCTTCTCTCCAAAACCTGAAGGGGGAAGTGTTTGTGTTCTGCCTGCTCAGCTAATGCCAGGGATGTTTCCTCTTTCCCCAGCTGCTGTGTGAGAGGCTGCAGCCATGTCTGATTTTGTGGAGAGTGAAGCAGAGGAGTCAGAGGAGGAGTACAACCAGGATGGGGAGGTTGTACCCAGAGTAACCAAGAAGTTTGTAGAGGAAGATGAGGATGGTGAGTTTGCTGTGTTCATTGCTGTTCTGTTCTGCATCCCATGGCTCTGCAGATGGAACAATAACTGCTATTATAGCAGGGCCATCTGTAGTCAATAATCTCAGCTCTTAGAGTACTTCCCTTCCTCCAAGTGTTCCAAGTGTTTTTTATAATTGGCAATAAAAAATACACTGCTTTGCCCCCGTGGGACTTGCAGTCACACAATTTGATACTAAATGGTAAAAGCAGAGGAATTCTCCCAATGTGAGCACTCCACCTGTTCCCTCTGCAGAGAGAGCATGAGACAAAACGTGGGGATGTGGCCAGAGCAGCTGGCTGTGTTCTGTGTCAGTGCAAGTGTTCAGTTAAAACTGTGTGTGGATGGTGTGGAGGAAGATGCTGCTTGCACAGGTCTCAGTGGATAACCAATGAGTGTCTAACACGTGCTGCTCTCCATCCCAGATGAGGAAGAGGAGGAGCTGAACCTCGATGATCAGGATGAGCAGGGAAACCTGAAAGGATTCATTAACGATGATGATGATGAGGAAGAGGAGGAGGAAGCCAGTGACTCTGGGGACTCCGAGGATGATGTTGGCCACAAAAAGAGAAAGCGCAGTAAGTTTTGGGATGATTGTTACTGGCAGGGCACAGTGTAATGCTGGCAGAGAGCACCCTCTGCCCTGGTCTGCATGAGCTGGCTAAGATGTACCCTTTTGGGCTCAGTGCATTCCCACATTAGGAGAGGGAGAGTGTAACTTAGCTCTGCTGTCTTCTTCAGCTTTCGATGACCGCCTGGAGGATGATGACTTTGACCTCATTGAAGAAAACTTGGGCGTTAAAGTCAAAAGAGTGAGTTGTGTTCCCGTGCTGCTGTTAATGGTGTGGTGTGTTTTAGCACAGAGGAGGGCAGGCTCCAGCCTGGTGTGAGCCTCCTATCAGCTCCTGCCCTCTTGGAAAGGGAGAGCTGAGTGCTTTGAAGGAAGCAAGATCTCTCCCTTCCCAAGCAACCGGGACCTGGCTTCCCAGAGTTTGCAAAACACTTCTTTCTGGTTCCTGAAGTCTGCTGTGCTCCTCCCTTTCCACCTCTTCAGGACAGTCTCATGTTCCTTTACTATGTGCTGCTGACCTCAAGGTCAGCACAGGCTGTTATGGGCTCTAAAGTTCTTTCTGTAACACGAGAGTCACGTCAGCCAGGCCAGCACTGGTGGTGACAGCATGCAAGTGACACAGGCACAGCTTCTGAGTGGGGTGGCTCTTCTCTCCTGTGTGCCTGTGCTGTGCTGGGCTCCATCCTGCTCCCTCCTAGCTGCCTGCAGAGGAAGTGCAGTGCTGAGCCAGGGATTGTGAGCACTAACGAGGAATTGTCCTTGCAGCAAAAATTCAGGCGTGTGCGAAAAATGTCTGATGATGAGGATGATGAAGCAGAAGATTATGGAAAGGAAGAACATGAGAAGGAAGCCATTGCTGAAGAAATCTTTCAGGATGGTGAAGGCGAGGAAGGAGGGGAAGCTGTGGAAGCTCCTGTTGCTCCACAGGAAGAGGAAGAGGAGGAGGAGGAAGATGAATCTGGTGAGTGTGGATAGTCAGTTACATCCAATGTTTGTCCTAAGATTAAAGCACAGGAACAAAGTTCAGACTTTGTCTGAACTAGAAGTATCCAAGAGGCTGTGACCCTGTCATGGTGAAGCTCTTACTGGTCTGATTAATACAGTCCTTAGAATTAAACATTTCTGGGTGACAGGTTTAGTCTGTCTGAACCACTTTGTGCAGGAGCACGTTATGTGTGCTGAGGTCTTGAACACCTCCCATAAGCTGCCTCAAAAATGAAAATGCTTCAGAAAGAGGCACTCAGGGCACTGTTTAGTACCTCATAGCACAGTGCATGCCTGCCCTACCCCTCTTCAGCATCAGTCTCCCACTGCTGCTACCTTACCAAAAAAATTTCAACAATTTTCTACTATCCAAAGTAGCCAGGCCTTTCCTGACTGTAATTTCAGTGCACTGAGCTGCAGCTCAAATGTCTTTGCCTGGAAGTTTGTTCCAGCTTGGTACAGTGGTCCTGGCCTGTGTGAGGTTAGTGTAGGAGATGCTGTGGGGAGCTGGGCAGACTGACAGCCAGCAGCAGCCTCAGTCTGTGGTGGAGGCTCCTAGTTGCACTGGCTGAGCTTTGTCAGAGGTACCAGTTCTATATCTGAGTTTGTTTCTCAATGTCCAGATATTGATGACTTCATTGTGGATGATGATGGACAACCTCTGAAGAAGCCAAAATGGAGAAAGAAGCTTCCAGGATACACAGATGCGTAAGTATTGATTGGAAGTTGGCCTGGAGCCTTGAAAATAGTGCTCAACTTATTTGGATCTTGCGACTGCAAAGTGATTCAGCTTGTGGTTGGGTACTGCTGGTCTTT